CCCTTAGTTTCCCTAAAAAAAAAAAAAAAAACTTCGAATTTCCTCTATCCACAACTCCACAAATCCAAGCAAAAAACGATAATTCCAATAATTCCACCATCTCTTCCCTTTCTTCCCCCCAAAAACTACCTATCCCCCCCGTTACGTCAAAAAGAAGAAGAAAAAGACTTCAAAAAAATATATTTCCACGATTTTTCTTCCAACCTTTCTTCCGACCGCACCATAATTCAGCACCAACCCTTCCCTCGCCACCGTGCTTAATTCAACCTCCCCCTCCCCCTCCAACACGCGATCGATCGTCCCGCACGGTGAATCCAGCGCGTGTTCCACTTAGGAGATTGCGATTAGGTGTCAAACGAAAGTTGGACGTGGACGTCGCGGCGGAGGGACGGCCTGTATCCCGAAGCTCATAAGTTCACGGGCAAGCCTGTGGGATTGCACGTGCTGTCACGTGTCGACGTGTTGTATCGATATTAACGACGACAAGTTGAGACCACGCAGCCTTCAGACACGCGATCCCGACAGTCGTTGGAGATTACTTTTTTCTCTCTCTCTCTCTCTCTCTCTTTTTTTCCTTCTTCCTTTTTCCCAGGGATAACTCGATATCGCGTTACAAACAGCATAATTATTCCATCCACTCGGGTTCTCGCTCGATTACGCGCTAATCTGATGATGTTTCTTTTTCTCCTTCTTCTTCTTCTTCTTTCCTCTCTCTCCCTTTTGCCCCGTGATAACGAATGGCGTTTAATCGTTTCTTCCTGCCGCCTAGCCCTTTCTCCTTCCATTTTCACCCCCTCGTCGTTACGGGATTTGCAATTAACTCCCTTTTCTTTCACGCTCGATCGTATCGCGCGCGAACGTGGTGGAAAAAGGTCTCTTGGGGCCAACTTGTAAATCTGGGATAACTTTGAGAATGTGTTTATTTTAAGAATAGATTTTTTTCTTTCTTTCTTTCTTTTTTTTTTTTTGGTTGGTTGTTCGATCTTTGGAAAAATTGACGGATTATATTCGCAAGTAATGAATCGGTGAAGCATTTAATCCATTTTGTTGTTTTGATTTAATTGAATTTAATTAATTAATTAATTAATTAAGACTAGTCGAGAATAGTTCGATAGATGATATTTCTCATTTTCTATGGAATTTTATCGGCCGTGTAAACGTAACGATGTTGATGAGTCAAGTTTCATGGAAAATTAAACTGTCTTTATGAACTTATATCACAGCTATAATAACAACATCGCCTGCTGCAGTTTCTACAAGATTATGGGATACGACCTGCTCATTTTAAGTTACTGAATCGGTATATGTACCCCGGTTATTAACATATTGCACGTGGCTATAGGTATCGTCGTGAATAACCGGGCTCGTGAATATCAACGGATCAGAGATTATGCTAATGTTCGATAAATAAATGGGGGTAACGGAGATCGGGGTGATTATGATTTTTATTCGTAAAATTATTGTTGCGATCGAAAATAATAGAAAAAAATGTTCTGTAAATGTATCGTTTAACAAGTAGAGGAACAAGTAGAATTTTTGAAACGTGTTTAACATATTTTGGAAAAGAGAGAGATGGAAAAATCGGGAAGTAAAAATGTAAATTTCGCGTAACGAGTTTGCAACCCCCTCCCCCGTGGCGCAGCAAGTTTGAAAAATAGAGTGCCGTAATAAAAAGATCTCGTTGAGTGTAAGTAGCTTCGCTTTAATCCCTCTTTTTTTTTTTTTTCATACGAAAAATCTCCCCTTTCGAAAAATCTTTCAGAATCACAGAGTGAAAAAACGCGACCGAAGCCAAGGGAGAATTGCTAATAGTAGTAATTGCGATTAAATTATTCAAACAAATAATCTAAATCCTCCTCTCTATAATTTGCAACAATCCGATTTACGATAATTGGATTTATTTAACAAAATATGTTGGAATTGTTGTAGCAATTAGATGATTCTTTTTAAATGATGGAGTTTCAAATTCGAATCAATGAATTCGAGAAATTCGTTTACGCGAATGAAATGAATTTCATCCAAGATATCTCGATTCGAAAAATGATTCGTGCCATACCCGAAATTATCTCGTTTCTCTCGCAGGAGAAGTGGTGTATTCTACTTTGCCCCCACGTTCAATCCCAAATTTTCGACAATTACCTTTTCACCGAATTTTTAAATTTCGCGGGGGAAAAGAATTTTCCTTTGGAAAATATGCGCTGAAAATCGCGTAATTACTACTAATCGCCATCCCCCTTGTTTCCAAAACGATTCTCTCTCCGCAAAAAGCTTTACTGAAAGCATAACTAGAACCAATTATCCACAAAGGAAAAGACGAGGAGAGAAATTAGAGAAACTATTTCAAAGAAAATACACCATAAATACACCACGGATTCTTTATTTAAAATCATTTATCGGCGGTTCACTTTCACCCACTTCTCCTTGAGAGACATTAGAGCGCGCGTGTCTATATTTCATTCATAAGGGATCCGTTTCAACCGCATTTATCCCCTCCACTCCACTCGTTCGGATAGGGGGGAGGACGTTTATCGGAAAAGCTGATCGCCCGATCAATTTCCGCGTGACTCGTCGCCGTGCATTAACGGTATTGCCACGATACCTCTCGGTGGTAGTGGTTTAGATGCCTTCGTGCATTCGGATACCGGAAAATGTACGAATGACAGGCGTCTCTGAATTACAATCTCACGTTTACCAAACTCTATGGCGGTTACGTGAGCCTGCACGTATGCACACGTACGGACGGGAACGTGAACATGTCCCGAATACCTGAGCCCTCGTGGCGCATTTGTCTTACGGGTTTCGGGGATGGGGATGGGGATGGGGGGGAGTGTGGCCTCCGCTTCTATATTTTAACCCGTGTCCGGCTAACCTGATTTCCGTTGCACGAGGGAGACCGTTTCGATCTCGTTTGTTTGTTAAACGATAACACATACTGGTCTGGTTTGTATTAAATATCGGTTGGCTAAGGATTGTCGCGGAATTTTTTTTGTTTAAATTATTTGCGTCCGAATTTTCAAAAATCAGAAATACTGGCAATCGATATAATTAGATCGATTGGGTTAAAGAGTAATTTTAGGAATTTCTGTTTCTTTTGTCTCGTTTTGAATTTTGAAAGCAAAGGGAGGGATGTAGGTTTATGGAATTATTTGTGTCTGAATTTTCAAAA